TCTCTTGTCTCCACCCATGCACGCACGCACACACGATAATATCGTGCATTGGCGATCTCATGGGCTGGCGATATGACGATTTGAAAAATGACTATATCGCCCAACACTAACATCCACAACATGTTGCTGTGAGCATGTAAGAAATACTGCTGCTGCAAATATAGCATACATGAAATAACCCCCATATAGCATACATGAATCACATCGTAGCAGATCTATACAGGTGGAGCTGGGGAAGGTGGAGGGTTTCTGAAGCAAGCTGCAACTGCTACGGCAAGCACTAGTCATATATTTGAATGTTGAGCAGCAAGCTCATTGGCTACCGATACAGGAGAAAACCAATCAGCTGTGCAAAGTGATATTGATGTCATTAGGTCAGATTTAGTTAGACCTATCGGACTGCGGCATCTATAGTTTCATGCCAGAACTGTGTGTGTGTGTATATATATATATATATATATATATATATAGCATTAAGGCAATGAGAATTGTGAGATTGGAATTTTTCTTAATCATCTTATCGGTCCAAAAACTGAGCTTAATTTTCTTCATATAAATCCTTTTTCTTGTTTGGGGCATTAAGATTTTGGGGTGAAATATGATCCAGTGCTTGACAGGCTTAGTGAGATTCACCCTTTAAGATGACAAGGCGACTGTCGCTCAAATCAAAAAGACCATGCTGCTTTAAGGGTCATCATGTTTGTAAAAAAACTCTGAAGGGATTGTTTAGTAAGAGATCTACATAAATCCGTAAAAAAAAATTTTTGTACTGTAATGAAAAACTCCACATTAGTCCACTTCAAAGTTGAATAGTTCAAGTAAAATTCTGGCCAAAATAAATCATGACCAATACTAAAAATAGTACACAGTATAATTACAAACCAGACGATATTATATGACATAAAACACGTAAAAGTACTTTCTCCAGTTGCACAACACAGGGTGAAGAAAATACTGAGAGCCGAATTAAATATTCTGATTTTATTTGACAGATTTACAACATGTGCTCTGTTTGTTCAATTTGAAAAGTCTAATCTTACATGCTGACAAAAGGCCTTAAGGAAGTTAATGTGGTGTTAATTAGTCTAAGACTGATTTGCAGTACGACATAATGCATCTGTTATAAAGTGATGCGTGCACATCTGTCCAAATGCTGTGTACTGTGTTCCAGCTGAACATGGAACAGCATGCACACCATTAGTACATTCCTCTGCAGGTCACGACTTAAGACTGCCATGCAACACCATTCTTTCATAATAAGCAACTTATTTTCATCTTTCAAAATGAAAACGGTGTTTGTCTTGAAACTTATTTTTTGTCTTTGTGTTTCAAAATCTGACACATTTGACTGATCACTGCACCCTTTCAAAAACCATCGGTGCATTCATAGGTTGTGAAAGCTCTTTGAGTGGAAAGAAATGCTTATGCTTTTGCTTTTCTGCATACAGAACGAAAGGTGCAGCCAATGTGACTTGATCACAGTGGCGCTACATCAAGTAATATGTGCATGGGAAAACAGACTTTTTTCGTGTAAGAACAGAAAACAAATCTATCAACAGGTTTGTTTTATGTACTTCATTCTTCAAACTGAATACAAATGTTTCCATTAGCAATTATATTATCAGCATATCAATTTGAGTGAAAGAGTTGAAATGAAAACAAATGAATGTCAGATTTTTTTAGTATTTGGCATGTCTCCTGTTTGATTTAATGGCTGAAATGAAGTGCACACATTTGTGTAATCCTGGGGCCGGATTCACGAAACATTCTTAAGAAGAAAAAAAAAAGTCTTCTTAACTGCAATCTTTTTATTTTTGTAACTTAAAAAAAGTTAAGAATATTTTGTATTCCCAAAAATTCTTAAGAATGTTTTTATCTTTTTTCTTAATATTGTTCTTAATATAAAACTTAAAAAGAATTCAAATTCTTGAAAAGAATCTTAAAAATAATAACACGCATACCAAATAACACACATACCAAACTTTCACTCAGAAGAGAGTGCAGAAACAGCACAAGAATGAATGAATCAGATCGCTGCAGCTTGAGACAGGCTCTTTAAACTGTTCAAAAACACGGCGCATTAAAAACACGAAGTCGAGTGCCAGTCAAGCAGGTCACGATGAAAATAGTGTGCACACTTAATATGATTATTAGAGTAATCTGCAGGAAGCACAAAAAGACAAAAAGCTTATATAAAAGTTTATAAGTGCGTCTTCAGCCATGTATTCAGTCTGATAAAGACTGTTATTTTCTTCTTAAAAAAAAAAGATGTTCTTAAGAACATATTTTGAGAAGTTAAGAATTTTTCAAAAATTGCACTTAAGGATATTCTTACGAACTTCTTGGAATTTATCTTAAATTTCTTAACTTGAAATCCTTTTGTAGTGTAGGTTTATGGAAGCCACAGAATAATAAAAAATATATATATCGGCTTATAATATATATATATATATATATATATATACTTTTTCTATAAAGATATTGTAGTGATGTACTCATTTTGACGTAGGCAATTTTGAAAGTATAGTTTTGTTAAATCTTGAGTATTAAAGTCATGAGAGAGATAGATATCAGGGCAAAATAAAAATGTAACTGAAGGTGCAGTTCAGGACAGAACTTTTAATTATTTTGCATGTCCCAAACCTAAGGATGTAAACCTTTTTATGTGAGGTCCACACAAAAAATAGGGTTGTGGGTGTATGAGTGTGAGATTTCCCAGACTGGAATTTTTTTCCCAGTCCACCCCTCGTGGAAATTAATGGTGCAGACATGCGGTTTAATTTACTACACATAGGCCCTACTGAAGCTTGCAGTGTTTTCAGCCTCTGCTACCTCAATATATGAGAACATGAACACATAAACAATCTCTAGAACTGTGTCACTTCATGAGCATTTTACTTATTTTGAGAAAACTATCGTCACAAAGAGACACCAATGTTTTAAAGAGACACTAATGTTTCAGGAGTTTAGTACACAGAATAGGACACATGCTTATTAGATAACTGTATTTGAGTTGATGTATATGCTTTTATTTATTATTACTTTTTAATTAACTATTTTTTTTCCAAACCATTGTTAGATGCAGTGTTTCCTGTAGTTATGCAAAGATTTCTTATCTATTAACTATTTCTTATCTTAAAGGTGCAGTAGGAGATCTTGGAAAATGCTAACTTTAGCCTGATAGCACTGAAAGTGAACGTCCCACCCTCCCTGCAATCACCGTCCAAAGCCACGCCTCCTGAACGCATATACGCTCACAGACCAGAATACCAGAGACAACATTACTACAATAGGCTACATCAGCGGTTCCCAATTCCGGTCCTTCACACTTCTCTAGTAAGTTTCGCCTGTGTGTGAAGATGCTGCGCAGCACAAATTTGCGAATGAATGTTCCGAAGTGAAGTAAACTTCAACAGCTCATTTCGCTTGATTTCGCCTGCTCAGTGAGTAGGGAGCAATGAACACTGTGTAGGGATCATATCGATCGGAACACAGTTCATGCACATAGCTCACTTCTAAAGAGCTGGTTGGGGGGCACGAGGACTGGAATTGGGAACTGCTGGGCTACATCATGCGTCATTCACCGGTGAGAAAACTTTACTACAATACCAGGAAGGAAGATCGGGTTGTTGATGTTTGTCTGCCATTCTCACTCTGTCTGCACAGTGTGCGTGAACGCGCTGATGACGTATCTGGTCTGCGCGAACCGGGTGCGCAGAGGTATGCTAATACATAACTTGACAGGCAGGTATGAAAGCCAATTAAATCGCTCGGACCGAACGTTTTGATTGGACGAACAATTCTTGGTCCTACGCCTTCCACAGAATATATAAATACAGATAAATAAATGTAGACCACTTAACTTAATGATTGCTATCGGGATGTGAAGATAGCAACAGATTTTTGTTATGCTATCAACCAGCATAACAAAAAAATGTTTCTGAAGACAATCACCTATTGCACCTTTAACTATTTCTTATGATTTTAAATCTGCATTGAACTTCAGATCAATCTCAAAGTAAAAGGCAGTACTAAAGTCTGATTTTGTGGTGGATGTGTTCAAATTTGATCATCTTAATTCAAGTGATGAAGGATTTTGAAAGTCTAGTGTTGAGCACTACTGTAAGGTTAACCCTGCATGGTGTAAATGTTTGAAAATTATTAACAGTTGCAAATAAACATTCATTAGAAATTTAGAAAACTTTAATAAAGTAATTGAAAAAGTTACACTACTATTACATTTAAAATAGGGTAACTTGTAATATGTAACCCATTACAATTCCAAAGTAACCTTCCCAACACTGGATATAATGTAATGATCGAGGCTCTGGACTCTTTCCTATAACAAACTATAAAATATTTTCTATAAAAACATTAATGCCCTGTCAGTGGCAAATAGCTTTGGTTTTATATTTAATTTGATTACATTAATGTTATAAGTTGAGATTTACAAAAAATATTTTAACTGCTACTATGTAAAAGGAATAAAGCACCTTATTTGTTTAAAGTGTCTGCAAACCAAATATTATTGCACTTTTGTTCATATAGCAGTACTTTTAAATGAAAAAGTGCACAATACACTACTTTTGAATTCATTATTGAATTTTGTGCATAACTATGCGATTAATCGCGATGGAAAAATTTAATTGTTGCCCAGCACTAAAAAAAAAAAATATATATATATAATATATATATATATAAATAACATCAGGTAGGTTTGTAATTGTATTTGAGTTGTCTGGAAATGTTACAAAAAATGTTTCAATTGCCCCTGTTTTCCTCTATTATTCTCATATGACTCCTCTGTACAAAAACATGTTTACAGGAAGGGACATTAAGCGGAACTATAAAGGACAGGAGATATCTGCATAAATATGGAAAAGATAAAAAAAAATGCATCAGAGACTAGTTAAGAACTGACATGGAAGAAGTATCCTATACAATATTCACTGTATACAGTATACTACTGGTCTACACCAATAAAAGTCACAGATACCCACCTAACTGCTGGAAGAGGAGCGCTACACTTTTACCGCTGACTGGCAGAGTGTCATTGAGTGGGGTCTGGATGAGCTGCCGGTCCCCTGCTCCCAGTGAAAAGAGCTTCTGAAAACATCAACACAAAAATTCTGGTCTGGACAAATGCATAATGTAAATACATTAACAATGAATACCAAATAACACCTCAGAGCTACACAAAAAGTACAATACAGGCTGAAGCATATTAAAAATAAACATTTTTAATTATTAATTTTATCATTTAATTTATTAATGTTTAACTGACATTAACTTAAAATGTTAAGGATATATGTTTCTACAGTAACACTATTTTAAAGGGGTCATATGATGTTGCTAAAAATAACATTATTTTGTGTATTTGGTGTAGTGAAATGTGTTTATGCGGTTTAAGGTTAAAAAAACACATTATTTTCCACATATTGTACATTATTGTTTCTCCTCTATGCCCCGCCTTTCTGAAACGTGTCGATTTTTACAAAACTCATCGTTCTGAAAAGTGAGGTGTGCTCTGATTGGCCAGTTATCCAGTGCGTTGTGATTGGCCTAATACCTCAAGCGTGTGACGGAAATGTTCCGCCTCTACCATACTGTTGATGCCGTGTCCGGCTGGAGCGACGAGACAAAAACATTAAAACCCATTATAAATGAGGCATTTGTTGCATCCAGTGGGGACATAATTACGGATTATAATGACTTATACTGTTATTTTATGTGTTGCATCGTGCCGTGTAAACATAAAACCATGTCTGCATTTGTGATCGGAGAAATGACAAACAACAAGCGCTACTCTACACTGCTCAAAACTCGCGTTTGAATCATCAGTGGCAAATTCTTTATATATAAAAAATGTACTTACAGTCTGTGAGTCAGAACAGCCGGCATTGTAGTCTACTCTACCAGGATCAGGAAGCAGTCCTCCATAAAATGTGCTGCACACATCTGAATATTTGGGTTGAAGTGTTCTGGAACAGTGTTGTAAATACAACTTAACCACTGAGTTTTAGTCGTGTCCTGTTTTGGAAGGCCAAACAAAGTAGTTTCGCGTTCACAACGAAACACATTGTCACACACGGCGGCCTTGAGTAAGCGGCGGCCGGCAGATTCGACGAAAGAGCGGCCGGCGGGCTTGCGGCAACCACATGTGACGACCCCGGGCTGGACTCCGCTTCGTCCACGGTGAAAGCCGATCCGGTGATCCACAGCGCGAAGTTATTTCCTCAGCGACCAGCTCGGATCAGCTCCAGGCATGACGAAGCGGATATCGTCCTCTTTTGGAAGGCCAAACAAAGTAGTTTCACTTTCACAACAAAACACACCGTCTTCACGACATGGCGGCAACAACAATACTACAGCGAGAATAAAAGTTACGCCTTCTTTCTTTGCGTGAACATTTGGGCGGCGTTATGCAAATCTTCCCACATCGTGACGTAGACATGTGGGGGCGTGTTAGAACGAGCCGTTTTAGGGGGGCGTGGCACAGTCTTACCTTTGATAAAGAATATCTCTTTGGTTTTGAGACTTTAGTCTTTGCAACTTCAGGGATCTTATCTACACAATCAGCTTGTAACACTCCAAAGAGAGAGGAAAACTTGAAATCGCATCATATGACCCCTTTTAATAATGACCCAGATCGTGAACTACATTTATTAGCCTTAGAGTAAGGGAAGCACAACTCGGGAAATGAGAGCATCCGAGGAGCATGTGAATGCACACCCATAAATTTTCAGGACTCACAACCGCATTCTCGGAACACATACGCTGTGTGAATGGAACAGGACTGGACAACCAGTTGTCTGTCACGTCATACCGTGCGAGAGGAAGTCGTTCTGCCACAGCAAACCATGCGCGTCTAACCATGTGGTGCGTGTTTTCGGTAACTTACAGTGACAGAGAAATGAGCAGCGTGTCATCTGAAATTTTTAGATCTTTTTAGATTTTAGTTTTCCACCAGAGCTCCCGTCAGTTTTGTGTTCTACGCGCGATTCAAATGCTCTGCTCTCTATCCAAATATAAAAGCTGCTGTCGGTTAATGAAGATTTGACTAACGAACGAGCGGCTCGATTGGACTCTTGTCGTGTCAGAAAGTTATGAGACTTTCAGTTTTATGGACGTCGCCATCTTTGATTTTACTTTGGTCACTGTCCCTATGGTTACTAGTAAGGAATACGGGCTTGACTCCTGTTGCACGTTCATACAGACAGTATTCTAAACACAACTGTATGCTGCTGTGTGAACGGGACATTTCGAGACTCACACCTGTAAAGAGAATGCGGTTGTCAATCCCAAAAACTGACAGTGTGAACGTAGCCTTAATGTGCTGGCAACTGTGATGAGTTCTAAATAACCCATTGTTGCAGCTCAGTTTCCAAAATTGGGTGAACTGGGAAGTTAAAGGATCTGTCAAGTTCCAAGTATATAATAATATATATACAATATATATATATATAATTTTATATATTTATATATACCAAATAATATAATTTTTATTGCTTATATATATAAACTTATACACTTAAACTTATACATAAACCCTCTGGAAGCAATAGAACAGTGAGACAGCTCTCTAGACTTTAGTAGGTTTACCAAGTTTATTTATTTTTTTGTAGATCTCGGCTCTTGTATTGTAAGAAACAGCAGACGTGTATTAAACAGAGCAAATAAGATGCACATGGACTGTTTCATGAACAGATGTGCGCTGAAGTCTCATGACACATTCCAAGTGGATAGAGTTAGACTCACACTGAAAGATGAATATATATACCTCCCCTGGGGTCTGTTTATAAATGACACCCTGTTTGATAACCATAATGCTACAAACCAGCTGGGGAAAATAATAGTTTCTGGAGGAATTAGTAAATGTAATGGTGAATTACATCAAAAACAATGCGATTTCAACACGAGAGCCTGCAAAACTCTGCGGACTGCATATATTTCCCTTGAAACCAATTTATAGATTATTTAACAATATCTATTTGGTGATTTATTCATTTAGCTTGATTTATATGAGTGCAGGGTACAGTAAAGAGTGGATTTAGAAACTGTGTTTAAAGAGAAAACATATTTTAAGGACAAATCTGCTGTTTTAAGAAAATCAGATACCAAAAAGAAAAATGAGACGCACAAAAGTAAAGAACTGCAGCGCACAAACCAGATCATGAGAGCTACATTTAGTAATATTTTAGCTATAAAACAAAACAACAGGCTTCTTTCACTGACCCCTAAAGCCCTATTAACATCTCGGAGTCTCCAATGAAAACAAAATGCAATATGAGACACCCTGCTTTCCTCAAGGTACACAGGTACACAAATTAACCCTGGCTAACCCTCTGTGTGCTCGAGTATCCACAGGGGTCAGGGTTCGAGACAGATGAGGAATTCTTTGGTTAAGTAATGTCTGACCTGGGAACCTCCACCCAATGGGACCAAGCATGTGAAGAGGTTTGCCACCAGCCCTTCCAGAGGGAAGCTCAGACTGTCAATGTATACGGTGTAGATCAGTCCCAAGCAGCCCTAGGAGGAAAAAAACCATTCAGCTAGTCCCTGACACACAAACACATGTAAAACACTTCCTGACACAAAAAAATGTGTCAATGTGAGTGGTGCAAAAGTTGCTGCCACAATACTGGTGTTGTCCTAACAACGTGTTTCTATTGCTACAGTTGCAAAGTTATTCTTAATGGTTGATATGGTGTTGCTAGAATGTTCTGTGTGAATGCTGTGATGTTGCTATAGTGATTTTAAGGTTTTCTGAATGGTTTCTAGGGTGTTACTAGTGCTCTGGGTGGTTGCAAGGGTGTTGCTATAATTTTCTGGGTGATTTTAAGATTTTCTGAGTGCTTTCTAGGGTGCTTCTAGTGTTATGTGTGGTCGCTATGGTTTTGCTAGTGCTGTGGGTAGTTGCTAGGGTGTTTCTGAATGGTTTCTAGGGTGTTGCTAGTGCTCTAAGTGGTTGCTAGGGTGTTGCTAATGTTGTGGGTGGTTACTAGAGTGTTACTACTATACTGTTCTGGGTGATTTAGTGTTTTCTTAGTGGCTTCTAGGCTGTTGCTAGTGATCTGGGTGGTTGCTAGTTTTTGCTATAATGTTCTGGGCGATTTTAAGGTTTTCTGAGTGGTTTCTAGGGTGTTGTTAGTGTTATGCACGGTTGCTATGGTGTTGCTAGTGTTGTGGGTAGTTGCTAGGGTGTTATTATACTGTTCTGGGTGATTTTGAGGTTTTCTGAGTGGTTTCTAGGGTGTTCCTAGTGTTTTCTGTGGTTGCTATGGTGTTGGTAGAGTGTTGCTATACTGTTCTGGGTGATTTAGGGTTTTCTGAGTGCTTTCTTTGGTGTTGCTAGTGTTTTGGGCGGTTGCTAAGGTGTTGCTATAGTGTTCCGCATGGTTGCTAGCGTGTTGCTATATTGTTCTAGGTGATTGTTAAGGTTTTCAGAGTGGTTGATTACAGACTCAAGTCAGTTGGTCCATATTCTGGTCTCTCCTACAATGAAAGTCTAAAGGCCCGTTCACACCAAGCACGATAACTTTAAAGATAACGCGATAAAGATATAGTTCTAAAAATCGTTCTCAATATTAAAGAATAGCATAGTTCACACCACAACTATAACGATAACGATACAGAAAAACGATATCGTTGTGATCACTTTCAAAACTATTTTTTTCCAGCTGATGAACGATAAAACACTGACAGCCAATCAGAATCCATCCTGCTGTAACGAGCTCAAGAATTTAAAGCGGCAGTCGCATGTGCGCTTAGAATAAAGAGACGATATCATTCGCTGGTGTGGACGCTAATATCGTTATCTTTATAGTTATCGTTCTTGGTGTGAATGGGGCTTAAGGATTTTTTTTATTGTATGCTCAAATGAAAATCATAAGTCTGACAAGTCTTATCAGCAAAATGAACAATTTGAGGAATAATTCATGTTCATAGCACAAACAATTTAAATCCCTAACCTCAAGTAAGAGCATTAGTAATAATGATGACTTCCTTAGCAAACATCACTTAATGCTTTTATATTTGCTTTTAAATTGTTATCTATCTATCTATCTATCTATCTCTCTATCTCTCTCTCTCTCTCTATATATATATATATATATATAGAGTGTGGGAAAAAAGTATTTAGTCAGCCACCAATTGTGCAAGTTCTCCCACTTAAAAAGATGAGAGAGGCCTGTAATTTTCATCATAGGTATACCTCAACTATGAGAGACAAAATGAGAAAAAAAAATCCAGAAAATCACATTGTAGGATTTTTAAAGAATTTATTTGCAAATTATGGTGGAAAATAAGTATTTGGTCAATAACAAAATTTCATCTCAATACTTTGTTATATACACTTTGTTGGCAATGACAGAGGTCAAACAACTAACTTGTTCCCAGGCTTAGCTCATGCCAAATACATGAATGTAGGCCAAAATGTAAAAAAAATATTTTTTTTATTGAGACAGGCAGTCTGCATAAAACTTTGAATGAGTGGATTTCCTGCTTTTGAGCTCCTGTGATATTCCTCTCAGTCTCTGTAATCCCTGTTTTTATTCCATCAGCAGACATAAATCTTTGACTTTAATGATTTAAACGCTGACTATCAATATCGTTCTCAACCCAGTGATGGTTTTAATTATCCTAAATCCAGCTACAGCATGAAAATTCCTAGTTATAAATGTATGATTCACATCAAAAATGCGAGTAAAATTAGATTTTGCTAAATAACTAAAGTTACTGGTCACTTAGGAAATGGATCCTATTGAATGATATGTTAAAGAACAGGCTGCTCTCTTCTGTATCTTCTATCTTTAACTCAATGGAAACCAGAAGTTTAGACATGAAGCTTGTTTTTTTAACTACACATTCCTGGCATCACTAAAATATATTAGGAACAAAATGTTTTTGTTTTGTTTTTTCAGAGGTGGTATATCACCGAGAGACATCATAAAATGCTAAATGCAATGGACAAACAGACAGACAGATTTTTGTTTACCCTAAATATTTCTGGGTAATCCAGCCTGGAGACAAGAATCAAACTTTTGGGTGCAAAGATTTGAGCTGGCTGGATCAAACCATCCTCTTCCTCTTCCTCAGCTACATCCCCATCTGCCTCCAGCGTCTTTGAGCCCTGAAACAGGGAAAAATAAAAAATCAAGAATAATTTTAAAAGTCTGGAATAAATAAAATTCCATGAGGCTGAAGTACTTTTCGAGTTGGTACAGAGAGCAATCATATGAGATAAAGCCTGGACGTGATTACGGAAGAACCAACATCTGGGTCAGATTCCATCATGATTTCTTTGAATTAAAACAGTCTCTAATCAGCTTATTTGTTATTAGTCTTTATAACAAACCCCTAACAACAGGGATGTGTGGTGGGCTTCTAAAATTAGGAGTTTGAGATTTTCCATGTACAGTTTAAATTGTTATATTAAATATGTTATATTTCCATTTGATATGTACACAGTTTTTGGGTTAAAGGCATTCACTTTGCTTTATCAAAAAGCAATCTATATTATAACATTACATTTTATGCATTTATATTAAGGCTGACAATTTAACACGTTAATTAGGTGTGATTAATTATGAAAAACATAACACGCTATAACACGCCCAGCCTCAGACCTGTATGTAATCTTACACTGCATGCAGTTGTTGATGAACATGACGTAGGACGACGACTGACAGCATGTAACCTATTAGAATGCAGTTATATGCCCCTAAAATTCAAGATATGAGGGCAATAAACACCCCTGTATAGGTTTTTGTCTTATATATTATGTACTGTATATATACACTACTGCTCAAAAGTTTGGGATCAGTAAGACTTGTAATGTTTTTTAAAGTCTCTTATGCTCATCAAGGCTGCATTTATTTGATCAAAAATGCAGAAAAAAAAACAATCTTACAAAATGTATAAATGTATATGTCTTATATATTTATATCATATGATATGGATTGGGGCAATATCACACATGCAAGAGTGTTTTCCCCGAATATCTGCACAATTGCAAACGTGACATGGATTTTATACAACAGTTCAATAAACAAGAAGTAATTTCTGTTTTAGACACAATATTGTATGTTTTGCTCATTTTGCCAATGAAAATAGTTTCAAACAAAGCCATGACAGAATCATTATGCCTTTCCAAGCAACACTGAGCAAAGTTTCGGTAATGAATCCAAGTTTTTGAGTGAATTGAGTGAGCAAATGATTCCTTTCATAAAGACAGTCACTTGATTTGTTTTTGAATTCATCAGTAGTTTGAAAGAATCACTGAATGAATGACTCACTCATTAAGATTTAGTTGATGCATCTGAAATCGCATACGGTCTAAATATGTACTACATTTGAATTTGAACTAACTTTGCGAAGTAGTGAAGTATTCAATTTCGGACGCAGCAAATGACTTGCCACCACGTACAGGTGGTTTTAGTTTCATATGTAGAGTATCATTTCATTTCAATTATTTCATATAATTTCAAAAAATAATTTCAAAAAAACTTTAAAGGGGTCCTATTATGCTTTTTCACTTTTTCAACTTTAGTTAGTCTGTAATGTTGCTGTTTGAGCATAAAAAAGATCTGCAAAGTTACAAAGCTCAAAGTCCACTTCAAAGGGAGATATTTTATTTAACAGAAATCACTTTTCAAAAACTACAACGAATGACTCGTTTGGACTACAACGCATATTTTCCGGGATTTGTGATATAACAAATATCGACGAATGGGACGAGACCTGGTCGAGTTGCACTAAAGAAGGCAACGAGTGTTATCACTATGTCGGAGACACGCTAGCTTTGCCAAGGCAGACGAACTTAGAGTGGTTACAATCATTCGGGTTTAAATCGCGCTCAAATTGATTTGATTTTGAGCCGCGACCAACGAGTCATCGCCAGAGAGAGCGACAGTGCTGAGGATCGCCCCGGAGCCAGAGCCTGTGACGTCAGACCAGGTGCGAGTGCCGGCTACAGTGCTCGCCACGGGGGAGAATGCTATGAACAGCGAGAGTGCGGAGGGAAGCTCCACCCACTGCACCATGGCTGAGGGTGAGCCGAGCTCAATGGATTCAAATTCGGATATACATGCAGACATGCCCGCTCTTCTCCCGCCCTTCGTCTGAACTCTCTGTCTGCCCTCCCACCCACCAACCCTCCCTCTCCTGCCTCCTCCTGTCATCCCGGTTTCTTCAGCTCCACCACCGCTGCTTCCTGGCAGCCCCTCTGCTCACCATCTGTGCGGTGGGATTGCCGCGGGTCTGCCAGTCTCCATCGGCGTCATGGCTGGAGAATCCCTTGTCTCCGCCTCCAGCCTCTGAGTCCCGGACTCTGCCTCGGCCCTTTGACCCAGCGGCTCCACCATGGCTTCTAGCTCCCTCTTCTCCGCCATGGCCCGTCAGTCCACCAGCTCCATCGTCCCTCCAGCTCCGCCTTGGTCTGTCGTCGACCATCCGCCACCTCGGAACTTCACTCCTCCGGCTACACCTCGTCTCTGTCCCTCTGGCTCTGTCAGGCTCCTCCTTCCCTCCAGCTCCACCTTGGTCCTCTGTCGCTCCAGATCCCCACCTCCGCCTCGGTCACCGGAGCCGTCTGCTCCGCCTTGGCCCTCCGGATCACCTTCCGGGAGGGGGGCGATCTGTCACACCCCTGGACTGTTTTTGTTGTGTTTTCATCCCTCATGTGCTCCGTGACCTCGTTTTCCCTCATGTTTGATTGTGTCATTTGGTTCAGGTGTGTCTTGTTTATTGTCCTTGTCATCCCATGTATTTAAGAATCTAAAATTCTTCTCTCACAGAGCATCATTTCAAGTTTATTTAGATTTGCGACCAAAGGTAGTGCTCTACGAGTGGATGAGTTGTTTACTGCCTGACCAGTGGAAAAAGAACAGCAAAGAGCGAACACCGAAAATCCTCTGTGTCCTCAGCGGAGATGGACAGAGTGTCTGATGGGGGATTGCAGGGCTCTGTTTCCTAATTCTTTGTTATTCACCACTGATAAATATCGGAGTTGAGAGAGCACTAGAAAATAATGCATAAAGATCACACGATTACATGTTCTCAGAATCACTGATAAAGCTGAGCTTATGTAGACAAGCTTAGTCTGTATAACGTGACTGTCGCTCAGAATTCAGGCTCGATCCGGTTTACTCAAAGAAACTAAAAACAGCACTGCACTTCAATACATCAAATGTGATAATGGTCATGAGGTCAGCCGAGCAGTGCTGCCTTTTTTCAACAAGCAAGAGAAAATTATAACAGGAGCAAATTAAGTTAGGGGGTCTTGCACATCTATCTAAAATGTGACGGCGCGTGGACAGAGTTAGTGTCAGGATAGAGAAAGTTAAGATAGGCTCGCATGATGAATAAAGGAGTGACCCATGCTGGTTATGAAACCATAAGAGGAACCTGGAGCAAAACAGAGGTGCTGGTCTATTTATAGATTTTGCTTTTGGAAATTGGTTGGGTTTTTGGTTTGTTTTGTGCAAGGGTCTTGTCCCAAGGGCTAAGATGCTACTTGAACTGGTTTAGTCCTGCTTTAGTGTATGAGTTAAATGTGTGTAAACAGTCTCTGCTGAATTGAAAAATTAAATTTCCTAAATAATCACGTCCAAAGATGCAATCAGTGAAGAAACAAATCACAGTAATTACACCATGTACAACCCAAACTGAGTTTATGGGACAACGGGAGGATTAAGTCAATGATAAACTACAAATTTAGGCAAAAATGTAGTAAGTCACAGAATACATATCAAAATTAAAGGGGTGGTTGATTGCGATTTCACTTTTTTATTGTTAGTTAGTGTGTAATGTTGCGGTTTGATCATAAACAATATCTGCAAAGTTACGAAGCTGAAAGTTCAATGCAAACGGAGATATCGTCTTTTAAAATTCTGGCAGTTTAATGCCTACAAAAACGACTGGTAAGGGACTACAACGAGTTACTTCCCGGGTCCGTTACGTCAAGAACCCAGAATTTTACCTAAACCCCGCCTCCGGGAACACACAGGAAAGGGGGCGAGGCCATGCTGCGCTGCTTTAGAGAAGAGGAAGAGAAAACTAGGGGTGCACGTAAAAATCTATTCATATATGAATCGCGATTCTGTCTTCTAACGATTCTAATGGATTCACAAGTTTCAAAATCAATGTTCTAAAGCAGCATTCTCAACCTGTTCCTGGCCTCGCCCTGCATCTCTCTCTCTCTCATTCAGATCATCAGCTCATTTCACATACTATAGTTATGAGAAGCATTATACATGGACACGCGTGCGGTTGCCGCTCTGTATTAAAGCTTTAATCAGAATAAAACCGTATATTAAAAGCTAACAGAAGCAGTAGCATTTACAAATAACAGCGTATCTAAAAGTATGAGACAACAACAAACAAAAATCATAGGCCTACCATTAAAAGCCATGCTTGCACAGGTTCTGCACGATCCTCTTCAATAATATCCTCTGCTTCTCAATCGGGCTCAAACTGATAAGCGATATTAACTCGGCCCTCCACCAGTTGGGTAAACTCTTCCGCGATGCCTGGCGGCGGCACTGGGTAGCCCTCGGTGGACGGCCCGACACTCCTCCGCCACCCGGTGGACGGCGACAGCTCCTCCGGGTTCGGGCAGCCGGCAGGAGTCCCCTGTTCCCTGCTCCTCCCCATCATGGCGGATGGCAGCAGGCTACGGCCTCAGGTGAACGGGGGCAACTCCTCCGCTCCCTTACGGACGGTAGCCGTCCCTCCACATCCCAGGCGGCCGGCAGCGAGTTCGTCTGCCCCCCCGGCAACTCACTCCAGCACACCGCCTCGAGCATCCATGACGGCAGACTGCTCCGCCATGCTCGATGGCACCGTGGATTCACCACAGCGGCGAGGGATCTCTGGCAGCATGTCCCTCCTTCCTCCCGGGTTTCGGCACCAGTGTAACAGTTCGTAGTCATGGGAAGAAGGAGGCGGGAACCGGCGAACATTTAAAGACTTTAATAAAATAAACAAACACAAAATGAAAGTAAAGCGGCAGCCCCTCGCGCACGACTGCCGCACACAAAACACAAAATAAAATCGAGGCTTGGTCCTCTCTCGTCCAACACTGTCGTCACTCCTCCTTTTATCCTTCCGGAGCTCCTCCGTGGGACTCGA